AAGAGTTGTTTAAATCGGGTAAGTGTATAGTCAAGACTAAGAGAAAGCATTCTGCCCAAGTGCTGGAACACAAGGGGAAGAAAGGAGTGGCAGACCTTCTCAATGCACAGGGAAGAACTGGGAAAAAACACGACTCACTCTGTCTTTTTAACAAGACTATTCTATGGATAGCCCTCCTATGCCCAAACTAACTAGTGGGTAAAATACCATTTGGCAGCCACCCTTTCCAGGGCCACCACTGGTCCACAGCCCTGGGAGTGCCCGCTGCCCTGGTCCTCTCTGTAAGCCATGAAGGCCTGAGTGCACATCCACCGCTTGTCAAAGAACAGTACAAATCAGAAGAGACTAGACACTTGAGCAAACCACAAGCCCTATTTTAAATTCAGTCCTCTGGTATCTGACTAGTCTAAGGGGATATCTCAGCGTGCCCTTAAATTTGCTAGTTAATACCTAAGGGGTATAGTATTTTAAGGTGCAACTGACTAACAACAAACTTATGAGTCAGAGAGATTTAGATAGAATTGCTAATTCACCACTTATTAGCAGAAAGATGTTGGCAAGTTATTAGCAGAAAGATGTTGGCAAGTTATTTAACCTGTTTCAGTTCCTTCCCATATATTAATAGGGACAAAAATTCTCCTCACGGTGGTTGTATGTAAACAAGATAATCGTGCATGTAACATGTTTGGCACAGGGTTGAAATGCTAAAAAATTATAGTATTTCTCATTGCACGCTCTGTCTGTCCTCTTCCCTGTCACATAGTGTGCTTGAGTGTAGTAGAAGCAACCAAGGTCCAAAAATACACGTGACAAAGCTCTTTATTGTAATCTTATTTTTAATTTATGCATTTGAAGATAGTATCTATCTATTACTTCACATACTGTATTTCTCTTCACCAGAGGCTGGTAGGAAATTATTTCTTGAGGTAGAGAGGGGAAGGTCTTTTGAAGGTGTTGACATGAAGTGCTGACACTTCCTGGCACTGTACACCCCCTCCTTCTGCCCCGGTGCCCAGCCTAAAACTACAGACTTTTCTGTGTCTATTATACATTTTCCTCTGACTTGGCAGCATATTTGCTTGCAGTTTTGGAGGCCCAATTCTGGTTGTGAGATCACAAGAGAGCTGCAACCTTTCTCACAAATGGGCTCTCAGGCATCCACACTGGGTGGATTGTTTCCAAAATTCAAACAGCCGCTGAGAAATAGGGACTTCAAGACAGCTTTACAGGGTGATCCTTGGCCAGTAGATAGGAAGAAGCTAAGTGGAGTTGACAGTATTCCAAGATGAAATGAGGAAACCCATGATATGAGAATAGCAATAGACTCCCTAAACAGTGGACACTGGGCAATCTCTTTTTTAAACACTCTTTGCCAAGCACATTCACTGGCTGACTGCCATCAGTCAGGCTTCCTAAGTTTCACATTTGGAAATTCAATATTGGTAAGAAACGTTTATATTGTCACTTGAGTTTATTGTAGCTTGGTTTTCCTTGATTATCTCAGTCCAGATCTGTGAGCATTTAACAATTAATTGTTGCAGTGATTGGAGATCTGGAGAGGCAGGTCCTTCTGGGACTTCTAGTTTCTAGTTAAGCCGTTCTCTTTAACCCACTGCCACCTAGTGGTAATTTAGCAGACTGGGGGGAAAAAAGCTTTATTTTCATCCAAGGAGAGAATATAGTTGGGCAAAGAGTGATATATGTCATTCCACTGGCCTCCATTCTGCTGCCAATATTTAACTGTCACTGTATATTTTAAATGTCAAGCTAGCTGATTCTCTTGCCTTTATTTTGATTAATGAGGACATCCTTATTTAATCAGGAATCTTTGAGGTACAAAACAAACAAGCAAGGCCAGAAGTGGAGCATTTCTAACATCTTCAGTTGTTAGAAATTTCCTGTATGTTAGCTGAGTCCAACACAGTAAGTGGGGAACTGGGTCTTGATAGTTAACTTGAGTTTCCCTCTCTAAGAATCGAGATGATTTTTGTTTGTCCATCTTTCCAAGGTGACTCAGTTCTGGAAGCACACCGAGGAGATCAAGTAATCAATGTGGCAAATCTTTGTGCAGCTCAGAGAAAAGCTGGTAGCAAATTCAGACATTTCTGGAAGCAGTGAGGATCGATTAATCAGATGTGGCAAAACAGTCAGAGGGGAGCAGTCGATGGTGACCTCAGTAGATCGTGAAGACAGTGGATTAATGCCAGTGAGCTATTATGTGGAATGAATTCACAGAGCAATTACCATTGCTTGAGGCTTAGAAGAGATAATTTGCAATGTGGGCCAAGTTTCTTTTCTAAGCATGAACGTCAAATAAACTTGGAAGAATAAAACTACCTCAGGATAGAAATCTAGATGTGTGTGCTTTGGTTAAAAAAAGAAGGAAAATAGAAGGGCGCAAGGTTACAACAATGACATTGCTGGAAATGTTTTACCTTTCTAGGTCAGTGTCATCACTTGGTAGCAGACTTTCCTGCCTCCTCTCCCTTCCCCCAAAATCAACAGACAAAGCAGCCAGTACATTAATACAATCATATTTATTACAGCTTCCAGACTCCCATATGACACATATCTAAAGCAGAACATTGCAAACTGACGTTACTAGCAGCAATCCTCCCTAAACAGGAAGGGGTTAGGTGAACTTAATAATTAGGAGTAATTTCAAGATGAGATTATAAATCATGGTTTTTCATTTAGCAGCTGGTATATGAATAGAAAAACTATAAATTCATAGAGTCATCCAGGTTTAGCCTTGTCTAAAAAAACAGTAAATATTTGCAGAGGGGTATTCCCAGGGTAGCCCAGAAGGTTATGTCTTTAGATGTCAGTAAATCACTTTTTAAGACATCACTTACTATCTGCTTTACTGCCAGGACAACAAAAAAAGAACTGGGCAGCTGCCCTAGAACCTAGCTCACACAGAATTCAGTCAGATAATCATTGTTTAAATAATATCTGTTAAAAATTTTTAGATATATTTCCCCCACAGCTCAAAAAACATAACATCAGACATTTGCTCAAAGGACTAAAAATCAAAAGCAATTGCAATGCACTGGGAATAGCTTTTGTAGTTTTCCTGAGGGAGAGTTCCCATCTTTTCAGTGTTTTTAAAGGAGCACTAACTCTGGCTGCTTATCAGACTACTCTTTATTCTAAATAAATAAAAGACCAACTGAAGGTCTCAGGTGTACTTCCGCCCCCCTCGATCTCCGAATCATCCAAAGCCATTTCTTGACAGAGAGCTTTCATTTTTATTAGAGGAGTGCAAGAGAACTTACAAACATTTGAAAAACACTGAGAGTAAAGAAGGCCCAACCCTTCCTTGGAGCCCAGGAAACTGTGACAGGAACTCCAAAGGCTTATCTTAAACCCATCACTCAATTTGTCAGAAAGCAATGACAGACCACCCACCTTTGCAACATAAGCCCACATAAGATTTTCTTGCTTTATAATCACTAAGAAAACCCTTTTGGGAGTTACTGCCCTGAAAAACACAGGCTGATGAACAGAAGTTAGTGAAAAGGGGTTGACTGCATTCTGTATCTGGCACAGGAAAGAGAAAGTGAAACAGTTGAAAACCATTATATTTATACCATGATACACTTACATAAACCTTGACCTGAACCACAGAAATCATTTCATTCATAAAAAAATACACAAAAGACTGGAAAACTTTAGGATAGCTAGCTATCTTTGAATAATTTAAATTCTTTTCTAAAGGCAAAATTAGACAAAATTTAAACAAGTAATTTACAGAACCTATTATATTTCATTATTTTACCCATGTCAGCTACTACAGGAACAGTGCAAACATAAATATAAATATCTACCCTTCATCAAGTTAGGTTCTATTTTTTTCTCAAGGAATAGAAGCAGTACACCTACTTTCCCTAAGGTTTCTGAGGATTAAGAGCAGCTCATGGCTCATGACCTGACAATCTCTAAAGGTGCTTTTAGACTATTTGACCATGAAAACAGATGAACCCCTCCTGATTCACTAACAACTCATAGCAAGGACTCCTATCTAGACTTTAGTGTTAAAGGTTTCTAAGCTTTCTGGCTTGACAGGCACAAAGAGCAGGCAGGGTACTGCTTAGCCAGCCGTGGGCAAACTACGGCCT